CTCCTGGATGATGCAAATATGGCCTGCTGACCCTTAATCCTCAGATTAATAAGTAGTGCCTCTATTTCCCCAATGTTAGCTGAAATTACGACTCTGAGACTGTCGTTCGTGACCTCTATCTTGCTGGCTACCTGCTAGTGTACTACGAAAAGTCTTTCGTTCTTTGTTTGATCTTGTTGTGATTGTAACATGTACTCCGAACTCTGCGCTACTTCGGCGCTCTCGAATCATATTGTGCTCCTTTCTTATGTTATCCTTGTTGCTGGGTTAAAATCATTCTCCCGCTGCTAGGATTCTCTAGTTTTCGCAATAGTTCTCTTGCCATTGGCGTTTCCACTATTCTGGTTTTGATTTCTTCCTCCACTATGGACATGTCTCCCTGCTTTACTTAGACTAGCTCTAACTGCAAGTAGTGACTAAAATTCTCCCGAATAGGTGATAATTGTTACCACATCAAAAATCTGGATGTTGTTGCTATCCTCCAGCGATGCCCTCAGTGCTGAATACATCTAACTTCTGCTTGGTACTAAGTCGACATTCAAGGAATTTTCATATACTCCTTCCCTTATAGATTGCTAATGAAGTTGGTGCGTCTTGAAACTCTGGTGCTCTCATTGTCTGATATCTTTCTTATTCTTTCAGAGCTAAACCTCATGCTCTGTGGATCTATAAATAGCTGATTGTGGTGGTGGTGCCTTCATAAGTATTCCTTCTTTACTTTCACGACGGGTACAACCGGTGATGGAACTCCTTAAAGTGGTCTTGCTGACGGAAACGGATACACTTCTTGCTCCTCGAGTGTTGTGAGATCTTGTTGCTAATGGTACCATAAAGTCGATCAAATATTGTGGAGCCTACTGCGGCTCGGCTCTGCATGCCCAGCTTTCCAGGTACGAGTTTTACCTCAACCACATCCTCATTTCGATATTTATAATATCAAAAGGAGAACATAATCATCACAGTAAGTGAGATAATAAAAATACATACACAACGTATCACAATACGAATTCATAACACATAATATTCACGCAAATACCTTCAATCAACGTAAAAAAAAGTTGTCATAAAAAAAATATTCTCAAATTTTGAGATATACGCATATATCGTCCTCACTCATACTAGAAAATCCTTACGGACTCTATACATGAATCCTAAGAAACTCTATCCTAGCTCCACGACTCGACACAGGATGATCCTAAGGATACTGAAACTAGAGCTCTGATACCAACTGTGACGCCCCTGGGTTCACACAAGGCTGCAGTCCAAGGTGAAACCAAGAATGCCAAACCCACAAGGCTGCAGTCCTAGGTGAAACCAAGAATGTCAAACCTGCCATGCACCACACCGTGCATTAACATGTTTCACCATCACAATTCTATCACTCTAGTAGAGTCAATAACAGGTGTTGGTACAAAAGCAAGTAAAAGATAATACAGAGAATAGCTGATGAAATGGTAGAGATCATAATAACATTTCATCATCCAACATACCGAAGTACAAAGCCAAAGTCTGAAATGAACAAACTGGAGTTTTCAACAAGCCTCAAATACAATAAGTCTGAGTAAAGGAAATAAGGCATACAGCCTTTACAATAGAAAAGATCTGAACACTAAAGTGGGTCGCCATCAACCTGCGACTCTCCGGGCTCCTGGCTCGTGACCTGAAAGGGGGAGGGACAACGAGCGTCAAAGCGCTAGCGAGCAACATCATAACCAACCCCAAGGGAGAGGGCTCGTTGTATAAGAAAATACAGTTATCACAAAATGTATATGTATAAACAAATTCCCTGAAGCAAAGGGGGTCTTAGTACTTAGGAAATTTCAACACGAGCATAGGTACGTCGAGCGAAATAATCCAAACAAGGAAACCCTCATGTATATACCTGGTATCTCAAATTGTAAATCTCTAAACACCAAACCCGAGATTCTAGTACAGAAACAATAAATCAAGAAATACAGCTAATCTCAGAACAAATTACAGTGCCATACCATAGCTAACCGGAAGTGACCGTTGTCCAACGCCTGGACCGGATGTGACCGTTGTCCAACGCCTGGACCGGGTGGTAATGCATATCCAGCACGAGGATTAAATAGCAATGCGTATCCAACACGAGGACTAAGAGGTATGTCCAACACGAGGACTAAGGGGTAGTGCTTGTCCAACACGAGGACTGAGTTTAACCTAGTTTTCCCACCACATGGGCCAAATAGTAATCGTCGATGAGATGTATGAGGAGATATACTTATACAAATTTCACACTCAACTCGGTGTGTGATTCTAAACTGGCATTTCAAGCCATCTATCATGCATAGATACTTAATAAAACTGAGAACCAAAGTTATATGATCAAGGCAAGCACTCGAACAAGTGTAAGGTTCAACAAAAATAAACAGGGCAAAACAAACAGTGCGGCGGTCGACCGCAGAGACCCCTCCGGTCGACCGCTCACTGAGCCGAAACTCACTGGGCTCAAAATTGAGCGGCGGTCGACCGCAGAGGTCATGCCGGTCGACCGCTCAAAGAGCAGAAGCGATTCTGCTAGCCAAAATCTCGCGACGGTCGACCGCTGAGTCCGCTGCGGTCGACCGCCAAGCGTACAGAATCCCAGTCTGGGTTTCTGTCAGCTTCGAAACTCATTAACAATTTGGGAATTTCTATACCCACCTAATTTAAACATTTCAATAGTGATATATGACAGTAAACAATAAGTTTAAATAGTTAAAACCTCATTACCAAAAATCCCAAACTTTAATCAACATGATTTTAAAAGTTCTTAAACAGTAATAATAGATTTAAACCTTCATAAAAACGTTTCAGATCAAAATCTCATTCAATTAAAAATCATTAGTGAACTTTTAAAACTGAAATATATGATTCTCACATCTTACGCCATAAAGATCTACTTTATCTACATAAAATACGATTTAGGCTCAATAAAATCGGATTAAATCCTAATTTAAGCATAAAAACGAAAAGTGTGAAGTTGGGCGAGATGTTACTCGCCTCTGAGCTCCTAGAACTGCAGGAGAATGATCCCCTTTGTTGAAACACCAAGAAAATCCGCTGAAAATCCTTCGAAGCTCCTCCCAAATCACCAAAAATGCAAACTAGGGTTTGAGGAAGGGAGAGGAGGGGGCTGAGGCTATTAGGGTTCCAAAGAGGGTTCTGAGGGCTTCAAAACGAGTATATATAAGTAGAGTAACAACCGGGTTTGGTATAAACAAAACACACCCGAAACAGAACTGAACTGGCGTATGTACGCTGAGCGGTCGACCGCAGCGACCACGGCGGTCGACTGCTCAGAGTTCTGGGCCATGCTCAGACTGGGGTTCGGTAAAAATGTTGTAACTTTCTCATACGATCTCGGAATGAGGTGATTTAAGATTAGTTGGAAAGATATTGAAGAGACCTACAACATTGGTCTTATACACTCTTCCAGATTCTAACTGAATCAGTATGAAAAACATAGAAACTCTCAACTAGTCAAAATTCTCAGATTATCACTATTTGCCTTTGTGCATGTTTTGTGTATTTACACTCATATATTCACAAATATACATTGAGTTGATCTCAAATAAATTCCTATCATACTCAAACATCAAAATACATTATTTTTTACCATATAACATATTTATAATTATTTATCACACTATATTCAAATTTTCGGGGTTTAACAACAGGTTAGAAAGGCGGAGATCGCCTTCTAACATGCACCGTAAGAACCGCTCATTTTATATTCCATGTTCAAGTTGTTCTCGATAGACTAATTAAGTGCATATTTTAACTTCTACATCCTTGGAGGTTAATGCACCGTAAGAACCGCTCATTTGAGTGCATATTTTAACTTCTACATCCTTGGAGGTTAATGCGTGAAAATGCCGAAAAGACAAAGATAATGATAGATGCAGGAAATTTTCGGCTATGGACTAATGCTGGACTTGCTGAGGTTGGAGTAAAAAAAAGAAAATTGTGCACAATAGATATGGCTTTTGTGTAGCACTGGTGATAGGTTTTGTTGAAGTATGTCCAGAATCCTCCACCAATCGGTCCACAGTCGAACCGCCCTTATCCATCAAGGATACAAAGTTGAAGAAACCCAACATCAGCTCACCAGGATTATAAATAAAAAAATAAAAAAATTGACAGACGTCAATAAATGTCGGTACAAGATCTTTAAATCAAGCTGAGAATTAAATTTACTAATTAACTGCAGACATCAGGTGACTGACCGACGTTGGTCCGAGGTCATTGTTGAACATCTGAAGGTTGAAGCTTCCACATCTGCCTTCAGTCCATGTCTGCGTGATGTTTCTAGATTGAATTCTATTCGAAAAGAAAATATAGTCGACAAATTTTCATTTTCGACCGAATTTTAAGTTTATTTAGCATTTTCGACCTCCCTTTCACTTAATTACCATTTTTACATAGTTTTAGCCACCTGGCTAAAACTGGGTCGAAAGAGAGGAATAAGTTGAAAAACTAGATTCTCAATCCCATGTAGTTTAAAACCATACTTAACTAGACGAGATTTAGAATCTCGTGAAGTTTTCACCTGAAGCAAGCCTCATCGTATTGGTAATATCGTGAAGTTTGCTTTATGCGAACTACACGAGATTACCAATCCCGTGTAGTTGTAGGGTAGTTTCCCAGAGAGTTCGAATTCGAATTCTCTGTCAATTTCACGGGATTACGAATCCCGTGAGGATTGCTAACCACCAAATCCCACCACCACTACTTATATCACTTTCCCACTCACACACACACAGGCTACTTATAACACTTTCTCCCTCCCTCCCTCTCTCCCTCCCTCTCTCTCTCTCTCTCTCTCTCTCTCTTTTGGTCTCTCCTCCCTTTCTCCCCTTAGGGTTTGTCTCTCTTGGGCTCTTGACCATTTGCGACCCCCTAGAATGATCAAGCACTATAGTTAGTTAGTCAGGTTAGTTTTTAATGTATTTTTCGATGAAATGGATTAGGTTTGACTGGGCCCTTATCCGTGCTCCGATTGATATGTGAAGGCCAAAGACCAACACCTTTCATATGCATATAGGGGAATGTATAATTACACTTCAGGACATAGCCGTCATAGTTGGGCTCCGGATTGATGGCTTTGTTGTTACGGGCACAAATGACCATAATTAGGAGAATGTATGTGAGAGGCTTCTTGAGGGTCCTCATTTGAGGAGTGGTGCGATGAAGCTATCATGGCTCCAAGAGGCATTTATGAGAGATATATCTATTGACGCCACAAGGGAGACGATTCAGTATTTTGCTCATGCTTACCGATTACAAATGATAGGCTATATGTTATTTCTTGATGCGAGCAAAAATCATGTACATGCACGATGGCTGACTCTACTTGAGAATTTTGAGGTGCGCGATACTCTATCATTAATAGTATGGTGTTGGCATACCTTTATAGAGAACTAGCCAGTGTTTCCTTGTTCTCATGTCTTTTTTATGTAAAATAGATATAATGTGAGGAGCATCCTACAGAACCCCAACCAGACATACAGAGTTTTATTGATATGAGCTAGATATTGTCCAACATAAACAGGTAAAATAAGACACAATTCAAAATTTATATTCAAATTTTTCTGTAGATGCTAATGCATGTTTTTTTAAATTTAATTTTCAGTTCTAGTGGATGACCTATGCTCCGCAAGATCTCAATTTCCTTACACCTAGTTGTAGAGGTAGTGCTGATTAGTGGAGGGCTACAGTCCCAATGATCTATTTCAAGATTGTGGAGATGTATATGTCAGATCATGTTCTACGATAATTTAATCTTGAACAGCATGTGCCGGATCCTATTGAGCCCATCGATCCCACGCGTCGGATGACATCACATCATGTGGATTAGAGGTGATACTGCGAACCCTACATAAACAGGTGCAATGATAGGTGGAATTTTATAAACATGAGAGAAATCCAGTGAGTTATAACGAGTATATGCATTGGTATTAGGATATCATACACAGATGGATCGTACGCGACCCACACCCAGTAGTTGGATTCATACCATGCCCATCATTAGATACTTACATCCTGAGGGCAATGATCAAGAGAGATTATGTAAGCTTTTAAACTAATTTAAAAATAATATTCTTCTTTTGAAATTATATTACTTCCTAAGCTATGTATATAATGATTAAATTGCAGATCCATACATTTGATAAGATTGAGGAAGATATAAATGAGAATAATGTTGAGCTTTAGGATCTAGAAGGAATATTAGTGTTCAATAAGATCAGATAGATAATAGCGAATGTATTTTATAGGAATCATGTCGATGAGTTTGAAGGACGCGAGGACAGGACACGCCGATTTTTACATGTGTATGTGCGAAAACATAAGACGAGTTCTAGTATGGTGCGTTATGATGGAGCCCACACTGTGAATGAAGTGGGGATGTGGGGGCCACCCACGTGCGCGTATAAATTCCCCAACTCATTCGTGGGTGCGGATGCGGATGCGGCCCACTTAATTCCCCAACTCAGCTATATATATACCACTGCTTTCGATTTTTTAGGTGTGCAAGCGAGCAGAAAAAAAGTCGGTTGTGTTCTCTTTTGGCGGCATAAGAGCAAAGGGGAAAACCGAAGGTGTTTTTCGGCTGAAGAAGAGAAAAACCGTAGAGGCTTTTGTTAGGGTTTTGAGCATCCATTGATGGAGATATTTGTGAGAGATTTGAGAATTTGTGTGTGGGTTTAATTTGAGTGATTGTAAACCCTATTTGTATTCTCTCTCTAATGGTAGATCTCCCCCCTCCTTACCCCATGGACGTAGGCAATTTGCCGAACCCTGTAAAATTGGTTCTTTCGCTTGTTGTGTGATTTGTAATAGCTTATTTAGGTTTTCTCGACAGACCAGTCCTAGAACTGATGAGAGGAAGAGCTGATATCCTATTTTGTTGAGATATTTTGCTTTTGGTTATTGTTTCCTTTGTGAAACGAGAATTCTTATTACGACCTAACTCTCTTGTTGTGCTGCCGAAGTACTGCCAAAATTTTTGCTGCGTGTAACAAGTTGTATCAGAGTCTAGGTTTTGGATCTAGGATTTTAGAATTAGGTGGAGAAAGATTCTTGTGTGAAGTTTGGTTCTTGGAGTTCTAGGCTTCGGTGGAGATAGCATTAGGAGTTGTCGTTGGAGATTTTATTTTCGTAGTATGGACATGAGATCTATTTGGAATCCGATCTAGGGTTCAGTTAGATAATTCTTAATTTTTATTAAAGTTTGATTCTTTCTCTACAACTTGAAGTTAGTTTGCAATGGAAGAAGAATGTGAAAGTAGCAAGTCGATGGCGAGTACAATTCAAGTTGGTTTTCAGAACACCAAAATTAGTATGGTGAACTATGACAGTAAAATCAACTTTGGTTTGTGGATGAGCGACGTACAAGATGTGCTTAATGCTCAGAACTTGGAGGAGACCATCATGGTCCATGAGAGACCACCAAAATATGAAGAGGCGATATGAAAAAAGATGAATAGGAACGCTTGTATCCGAATAGGTAGAAGCTCATATCCAAAAGGTGATAATAGAGGGAGGTCAAAGTCAAGAAGGAACCACTAATTAGCAAAGAATCAATGTACATTCTGTAAGGAGCAGAGACATTAGAAGGGAGACTGCCCGAAGCTCAAGGAGTAGGAGAATGGTAAGAAAAAGGGGCCGAAGGCCAATGAGGTGAATATTACGAAAGGCGATGATTCCGATGATTCGAGTTTTTCTCTACTAATTACTCCGGAGGTGAACCACTTGGATGCATTAGATTGGATGTTTGATTCCGGTGCTACCTATTATGTGACCCCTAGGCGAGATTAGTTTGCATCTTTTGAGAAGCTCGATGGGGGTGTTGTTGTCATGGGAAATAATCAACCCTGTGGCATTTGTGGGATAGGTACCGTGAGGATTCGGATGCACGATGAAGTAGTCCGTGAATTGAAGGAGGTGAGATTTGTTCCTCAGCTGAAGAAGAATCTTATCTCAGTTAGAGCTTTGGAGGCAACGGGATTCAAGGTGACCTTTGAAAATGCTGTAGTGAAGGTTACTAAAGGATCTTTGGTGGTGATGAAGAGAGTTCGCAGTTAAAATTTATACTATCTGAAGGGGAGCACCGAGATTGGTCAGGTTGCTTCTACTATTTCAGAGGCGGACATGAGCAGGCTTTGGCATTATAGGTTGGGGCACACAGGAGAGAAGTCACTGCAGGCGCTGTGCAAGCAGGGACTATTGAAGGGAGCCAAGAGTGGGAAGATTGAGTTCTATGAGCACTGTGTTCTTGGCAAAAGATGAAGGTGAAGTTCGGGATGGTCATTCATAGGACGAGGGACATCCTGGACTACGTGCACACAAATATTTAGGGTCCCACCAAGACTGCATCATTTGGTGGTCGACATTGGTTCATCACATTTGTTGATGACTATTCTAGACGATGTTGGGTGTACACCATGAAGTATTAGAATGAAGTCCTAGATTTGTTTGTGGAGTAGAAGAAGAGATTGGAACTGTAGACTAGGAGAAAGATCAAGACGTTACGATCCGACAACAATGGTGAATATACTTCAGACTCCTTTCAGCAGCTATGTCGAGACGAGGGTATAAAGAGATACTTCACGGTTAGTCATACACCGTAGCAGAATGGGGGTGGCAGAGAGGTTAAATCGGTCTTTGCTCGAGAAGGTCCGATGTTTATTGTCGTAGAGTTGTTTGGAGAAGATATTTTGGTCTGAGATACTTACAAATACGAGCAACCTCATTAATAGGCTGCCTTCATCTGCGATTGAGGGGAAGACCCCTATAGAAATATAGTCGGGAGAGCCAGCACATGACTATGACCAGCTCAAGATATTTGGGTGCCCTACATTTTATCATGTGAGAATAGATAAATTGGAACCTCGAGCTAGGAAGGCCATATTTATAGGATTTAAGCGCGGTGTTAAGGGATACAAGCTTTGGGATCCAGTTAATAGGAAGATTGTGCTGAGTAGGGACATCACATTCAATGAGGCTTCTATCTTGAAGCTTCCCAGCTCTCATCAGGTGGAGAGCGATCCGACGGAGGAGATATCGCAAGTGGTGGAGATCGATGCAGCTTCATATTATCTAGATGGTACAGTATCCATTAGAGTGCCGACTGAGGTGACGCCAGGCGAGCACGACGACGATGTGGAGGATACGAGTACAGTTATGTAGGATCAAGGACCGACGGCTTAGGTTCAGTATTCTATTACGGTTTGGAGATAGAGGAGAGACATACGGATGCTAACAAGGTATGCCGACACAGTTACGTATACACTTCCGATGAAGAATATCGATGAGATGGTGCCTACTACATTCAGAGAGGCCGAGCAGAGTTTAGAGGCTGATTCGTGGTAGGTAGCTATGCAGGAGGATATGGTGTCTCTTCATAAGAATGATACGTGGGAGCTTGTTAAGCTTCCAAAGGGGCGGAAGAAAATTGGTTGCAAGTGGGTATACACAAAGATGGAGGGCATTGAGGGCAATCCATTGAGGTTCAAAGCTAGGTTGGTTGCGAAGGGATATGCATAAGAGGAAGGTATTGACTATAATGAGGTTTTCACTCCGGTGGTGAAGCACTCTTCGATTCGGATTTTGCTAGCTTTAGTGGCATGGTATGGTTTGGAGTTAGATCAGTTGGATGTGAAGACGATATTTCTTCATGGTGATCTTGATGAAGAAATAACTTGGTTTACAGGTTGAAGAAATCGCTATACGGTTTGAAGTAGTCTCCTCGACAATGGTATAGGCGATTCAATGGTTTTATGATTGGTTGTTCGTACACTCGGAGCTAGTTTGATCCTTGCATATATTTTCGTAAGTTGAAAGGAGGTGCGTACATCTATTTGTTACTTTATGTCAATGACATATTGGTTGCCTCTATTTCAAGATCTGCTATAGATGTGTTAAAGGCACAACTTTCAAAGGAGTTTGAGATGAAGGATTGGAGTGAGGCGAAGCGCATTTTAGGGATGGAGATTGCCAGAGACAAGAAGAAGGCCAATATTTGTTTGACACAAGCAGCTTATTTGAAGAAGGTTCTATAGTGATTTATGTTAGCATGGATACGAAGCCAGTTAGTGTGCCTTTGGGAGCCCATTTGAAACTTTCAGCTGACCTTTCACCTAAGACAGTTGAAGATAGAGAGTTGATGTCGAAGACTCTATATGCGAGTGCGGTTGGGAGCTTGATGTACGCGATAGTATGTACGAGGCCGGATTTATCACAGGCGGTGAACATGGTTTCGAGATACATGCACTATCCAGGAGTGGGTCATTAGGACGACGTGAGATGGATTTTAAGGTACATTCGAGGTACGCTCAATGTTGGTTTAGTTTATGAGTTAGACACTATAGGTGGGCAGCTATGCATTAGTTATGTTGATTTGGATTATGCCGGGGATTTGGATAAACGACGGTCTACGACGGGGTATGTGTTCACTTTGACCCATGCGTCGGTATGTTGGAGATGAACCTTACAGTCGATGGTGACTTTTTCTACGATGGAGGCAGAGTATATGGCGATTACGGAGGCTGTGAAGGAGGCTATTTGGCTTCGAGGACTTTTGAAGAAACTTAGTATATTGTAGCGGTCCATCACTATTTATTGTGATAGCATGAGTGCTATCTATTTGGTGAAGAATCAGGTTTTTCATGTGAGGACGAAGCACATTGACGTTCGTTGTCACTTTGTTGGGATGTTCTTAAAAATTGAGATGTGGAGATAGTGAAGGCTCACACGAAGGCTAATCCGGCGGATATGCTCACTAAGGTAGTTTCGAGCAACAAGTTTGATCATTGTCGAAACTTGTTGCATATTCATGATTGTTGAGGCCGTTGGCAGCCATTTGGGTGAACTACGTGAGGCTTGATTCCTTGGGTAAGAGGATACATAGGTAGTCTTTATGATGCAAACGGTTTGGATTAGTTGATTTTGATGGGGAGAGATTGTTTGGACTCTTATTCGAGTTCCCGACTTGTTGTGGATTGAGTCTGTTGTCGTGAATTAACTTCACGACGTACTGGACACAACAAGTGGGA